AAAAGGGGGCGAGTTAAAGGATTGTGAGGATGTGTGTATATGTGTAAGTAAATGTGGCTCTGTTAAGTAGAGACCCGGCCGTCAGTGAGTGTTTGTGTTGTTAAATGTTAGTATGATATCAGAAGTGTAGAAGTGTGCAATGGGTCGAATTTTTGCATCCTCTTTGAGATTTATGCAGTCGAAAATATCATTAAAATTTGCGGTATTGCAGGTGGCGGCTTTAATAAAGAAGTTTCTATTTAATTTGTTGAAATGATGGTCAAAGCGGTCAATATTAAGATCTCTATGAATGGCATTGTTGCGGATAAACCATCTGGCTCCCGTGAGTTTTCTCAAGATGTTGTTTTGGAGTACGATAAGTTTTTTGAGGTCTTTTTCGGAGGCGTTACACCAGGCAGCTGAGGCGTACGTCATAATAGGACGTATCATCGAGGTATACAGGAGTTTTTTCAGTTTTAAACTAAGGTGTCGGTTATGAAAAAGTGTTTGAAGTTTGTTGGTTGCTGCATATACTTTATTTTTAATGTTATTTACATGGTCAGACCAGGTCAGTTTTTTATTAATGGTTAAGCCTAAATATATAGCTTTATCAACTATGCAAAAAGTACTTGCTCCTTATAATTCTTGATCTAATCAGAAATAACTAAATCATCATGGTATCTGAAAATCTTTTAATTCACCCAGGTAAATGAAAATACTGAAATAAGTTTCCCATCACAATGAGTGTCTTTGATAAAGGAAGATACATACATACATACGTACGTATTAGCGTTTTATATAATATAGATAGATTCCTGAGCAAATGGCGAAATATAAATCAAGTGAAATTAACATTATGGATCAATAGTTTCTGAACATATGGTGATTCAAAATAGAACTTAAATTAAATAGTTTCAAAACTTTAATTAAATTAAACTGTTTGAAGAATTATTGCAAAATTCTCAGGTTTCATGTTTTGTACCATAAATTGATTGAACTAACTGTTGTATAAAATTTTGTTTGAAGCAGAATATTCATATTTATTATTTTAAAATGCAGAGTAAAAGTTTTTTTTTCATATACATATTTCAATTCAACGTTTTCTAAAGTATTTCTCTTTTGGATTAAAGATATTCAATCGACAGAGATAGAAAATTTAGCTCATGAATTGAATAAAAATCATTCATTGATTTTTAATTTTTTGCAATTGAGTTCAATTTTAATATGTCATAATGAAATCATTAAACACCAAAATGTAATCATAAAACCAAAGTATTAAAAAAAATTTAATGTAAATATTAGTTAATATTTTAATGAGTCAAAAGTCAAAACAATTACTAACACGCATTATATTGGTTAAATTTAAAATAATAAGAAAAATTATAAAATTTTGAAAAAAAATTTTTTTTTAAGGTTTTGTGAACTCTGAGGAAAGAGATCCCACCAATTTATGCATCTGGAAGCCGGGTACAAAAACTGAAAAAAACTTACGCTACATTTAAATTAAGTAAAAAAGATTATATTTTGTATGAAATGGTAGTAATTATAGAAACATGAAAAAACAGTTATAATTATAGAAACATTATAAAAATTCTCTCAAAATTGTGAGAGCCTCTACTGTCTCTATTTTGACTTAGAAACTTGAAATCACGATGGTATTTTTTCAAAAGTTGTACAGGGATTACCATGGAATAGAAGAATTTACAATTAACAGAGATTTATAAACTGCTAAAGTTGTAGAAAAATATACCATGCATGTCACTTTGCTGGCCACGCAGAGCTACA